TGCTCGCACGTGGAATACCTGGACGAGCTTTCCTCGGAATGTAAGTGCCAATTATGTGGTCTGGCAAGCCGATTGAGGTTCCCCAGAAAGCCCTCCAGAGCACGTATCCACCCCATGCAAGTTATTAGTTCAGACCGCGGCTTCTAGTAGTAGCGTAATGGTGCTATTGCAAACCCTCCAGTTTGAGCTGTTAACATGTTGGTGTGTTTGCACTGTAGGTGCAAGTTCTAGAACGTTTGGTTGAGTTCTACTTGACTGTGTCTCCTTATAATTATTAGTAGTGCATCAACCCTTTTGTCCTGCACACAGGAGTTTGTTGTTGTTTTCTTTATTTGAATTTGCTAAAACCAAACGGACAGAACTGTCCAGTGACAAGGGAGCGAATGATGAGCGTCATAATCACTATGCATCAAAACATCTCAGGGCGAAATGAGTGACAGACTATATTAAGGGAGGGTTTGCACAACACTTGTACATAAAGGGGAGTACGAGAACAAAGGCGCGGCAGAAGTCGAAGCAAGAAAGCAATCAACGCCAGAGATGTTTTTGTCCACCAAAAACAGAGAGAGAGCGAGCGAGAGAGATCCGAGAGAGAGAGAGATCCGAGAGAGAGAGAGAGAGAGAGAGGGAGAGAGAGAGAGAGAGAGAGAGAGAGAGAGAGAGAGAGAGAGAGAGAGAGAGAGAGAGAGAGAGAGAGAGAGAGAGAGAGAGAGAGAGAGAGAGAGAGAGAGAGAGAGAGAGAGAGAGAGAGAGAGAGAGAGAGAGAGAGAGAGAGAGAGAGAGAGAGAGAGAGAGAGAGAGAGAGATAGAGAGAGAGGAGAGAGAGAGACTAACAAATGAGGGCGGAGACCTCTACAACAAGGCTTTACGTCTGAAAACAACCGCACGAATTAACAAGCAGGTTGTCAGAGAAACAGGGAGAGAGACGGGCAGGTAGGCCAACAGACAGGCATATAATGAAAATATGGCGATAGTGATCCGTCTGACCTCAAAGGAGAAAAGCAGTTTCTCTCACTGGAAATTCCATCAAGCCATTGATGCTCACTGTCGGTGTTGATTTTCTTCTCGCCTCGTTTCGATTCTACAGTGGAAAGCTTCAACAGCACCTGCATGATTTACTAGTGGTGCCCTTGTAGTTTCACCGCAGGATTATTTTCAAGCGTCTGAAGTTGGGACCTCACTTGTCTGTTTGTTCACTTTGTTGTTCAGTACTCTGGCAAATACTCACCTCAAGATCATAACAAAAGTGATATAAGCCACAGGGAAAACGGGGTTAAAGAAAGTGACCAAATAGAAACTACGAGAGTGCGAGTGGCGCCAACTACATGGTGGAACCACCAGAACATAACATCAAACAAAAGTCGGAACTATGGCGCTACAATGTGAACATTATTATGACGTGGACAAACTGAGTTGCACGCACTTCCCCCACTGTTGTTCGAAGTTTTGATCTGTAATTATGCTTCCATTATGTACATGTACATGTAGTTGGTGTCACTCGAGCTCTCGTAGGTGCTATTTTTCACTGCTCTGACCGCCCACAAAGAAAGATATAAGGTAACGCCATTGAAGAATAATGATTGTTACGAAAGGCCTCATCAACATTTCCAGTTGTTTCTATGCTTCCTATGCTAGTTTATCAATAAAGAGGAGGAGAAATTGCCGTCTGCTAGTTGGTTTTCTTTTTAGTAATCTATTTAATAATAGTATTACTCCAGGCGCGTAGGCAGGGGGGGGGGGTGCTTTGGGTGCCAAAGCACCCCCCTCAAACATTTCGACCATGGGTCTGGCTTGGCATGCATTGTATGATCAAACAACCGCGACTGCCCTCAGCCCAGACTGGGTGCATGCTACGTAGATCTGCGAGTGCTGCATTGTATTACACGTGCTTGCACTTTTCCGTTGCAGTTAGTGTGCAAGTATTAGTTACTCCATGAACAAAGTGGTCTCAAATTCCTAAAATGCGCTACTTGTGGCGCATGTTGCTGCGAAGGTAGCAGGTCTGAAAACACCGACAAAATCAGCGAAGCGCTTGCCAAGGAAAGAAGGTGCGGAACTGCTTACCCTACCCCGCTGGAAGGTCGTTACAGTGTACTTGAAAAATGCTAGCTTGCCTTCATCCCCTGCCACCTGGAGGCATGGATCGCTTGAAAACGAAGTTTCTTGACCTGAATTTGAACGCGCGTCTTCTTCAGCGTATTATTGAGTGCTGAAGGGTCTGCCTCAAACTCTGATGAAGACGTCGACCTTAGCTGCAAGTGCAGCGAAGCGGGAGGCCACAAACTAAAGCTTGGTCCGTCGACAATGCTCTGCCTCAATTTCTAGCTGATTTCTTTGCCCCTCGAGTGGACAAAATAAATTCGAAAATTCTCTCTGGGAAGCAACAATTTTAATGACGCGGAGGAAGTAGATTGTTGGAATGGCAAGCTGGAGACATTCGTAATACATAAAATTAATAATTCAAGGTGTACACCGCACTAGCATGCATACAATATGCACACATGTACAAGATTCCTCAAAAGAACGTTTTTGGAAGAAATTTATGGGCACCCCCCTTGACCATGATCCTGGCTACGCCCCTGTACTCCGTACCACTTCTACAAGTTCTATCTTTGTAGCCAACCAGTACCTGCAACCCTCACTCGGGCACCGGTATACATGTATGTTGTGCTTGAAGAACGTTGATCACTAATGAACCCGCTGCATATCATTCCATATTCGATATCAACAATACTCTGTGCGTACTTCAACACCCTCAAACGGATGAACATTCGATGCAGTACACTTACGAGTACATGTACAGTCAACTTCGCTTATAACGACACTCGGCGGGGCATCAGAAAAGTGTCCTTATTCGCGAAGTGTCGTTATACCCGAAGTCTCATTACATGTATACAGGTAGTATTGACTTTGCTCTGGGCATGGAAATTCTGTCGTTATTCGCGAATTGTCGTTATATCCGCAGTCGTTATAAGCGAAGTTGACTGTATTGGGATTGCCAGCGTGCTCGTCTGCACATGAAGTGCGTGGTTACAGTGAGGTCTGCTTCCCCCTGGACAGTGCGGATTCACGGGAGGGGAGGGTTTCGAAGCTTGAAGAAAACAAGTGTTGAACAGTCGCAGCTGGGACGATGAGGAGACCATAGCTTAGTGGTCGGGCATCAGCGAGTGTCTCTGGTTCGAATCCTGGTGTGACAGTCAATGTTTCCTTCAGACTTTTCCTGTTTCAAGTCCTTCAAACTGCACTGATGAACAGCCATCATCATCACAACACGAACACGTATTCGTGTATTCGTGTATTATGGGTATTGTGCGAGTTCGCGGCCGTTGAACCTGTATCGCTTATGTCGCGTAGGAACATGCTGGGCCCTGCAAAGTCAAGAGAATTCGTAGGGATAAACTTTAAAGGGAAGGTGATATGCTGGCTAATCAAGTCAGTGACCAACGGTTGTTCCCAAGAACCATCCGAAATACGCAGGCACTTGATTGGCACGCACACACACACACACGCACGCACACACACGCACCATGTACACACAGAAAACTCACAAACGCACTGTATGCAGTTAGCGATGGTACTCCAAACGCTCCTTTGTGGTGCATTTCCATTGCTAGCATTGGCATTAGTATTATGGACGCGAAATCGTGGTGAGTAGTTTCAAACTTTCATTGCATGTAGCGCCGAAATATCTCATACATATGAACACTTTGCCTAAACTCCAAGCCTCTCGAAAATGCCAGTCTGCTTCTCAGCAAGACACCGAGCCCTGACGCGGCTCTCTACAGCCTGTACAGGCAATACTCGCACGTGGAATACCTGGACGAGTTTTCCTCGGAATGTAAGTGCCAATTTGGTCTGGCAAGCCGATTGAAGTTCCCCAGAAAGCCCTCGAGAGTACCTATCGACCCCATGCACGTTCAACCACTGATAGCCCTAGGCATAGGAGCAGTGCAGTAGCTAGTAGTAGTAGTAGTAGTAGTAGTAGTAGTAGTAGTAGTAGTAGTAGTAGTAGTAGTAGTAGTAGTAGTAGTAGTAGTAGTAGTAGTAGTAGTAGTAGTAGTAGTAGTAGTAGTAGTAGTAAGTGGTAGTGCAAACTCCAGTTTGATCTGTTGGCGTGTTTGCACTTTGCACGTACATGTACATGTACATGTTCTGCGATTGCCCGTATAAGAGACATGTTGATGTACAATGCTGGCAACTGAAATCCGACCCCCTGGCCGGCGCAGGGGGTCGGATTTCAGTTGCCAGCACTGTATAATTATGTAGTTGGAACTGTTCTACTACGTTTGGTTAAGTTATCCTTGGCTGTTTCTCTTGCCTGTACCTCCATAGTGCGTCCGCCCTTTTGTATTGTTCACTGGAAGAAGCAATTTCTCTCACTGGAACTTCCACTAAACCACTTGTGCTAATTGTCATGCGTTGATCAGATTTCTTTCTTGAACCACATTCCAACTTTACTGCGTAACTGAGTCTGGATGGCACTCAAAAAATTAATGTGAATGTTGTGTTGTAGTTTCTACTCATACTCGTGATTTGTTTCTAGCGTGTGGAGATGAAATATCTTTTGTCTGCTGTGCGGTATTCTCATACATGCGCAGCTGACGATCATGTGTCTGGGCACGTCTCTTGAATTCGTGTTGTAAGAAAGAGCCATGAGTGTTTGTGTTTGTGTGTGTGTGTGTGTGTGTATGTGTGTGTATGTGTGCGTGTGTGTGTGTAGTATGGGTGTGTATGTGTGCGCGTGCGTGTGTGTGTGTGTGTGTGTGTGTGTGTGTGTGTGTGTGTGTGTGTGTGTGTGTGTGTGTGTATGCTCTCCGTTAGCCTCATCGATAGGACAATGTCCCGGAAAGACAGGGGTGCTGGGGCCGCTCCTGAATATGATAATATGTGAGCATCACCGACTGAACATCACGAGCAAAGACACGTTCCTTCTCTCTTTCTCTCTCTCTTTCTCTCTCTCCGAGGCTCTCTCTCTCTCCCTCTCTCTCAGGCGCCACCAATGCCACAGAAGCTTGAGCAGTTAAGGTGAAGACTCAAGGTTTATATTTCCCATGAGAGTGAGGAATAATGATTTTAATCTGAGGAAAGTACTCGGGAAAGGGACCAAAACAGCCTTGTCAAGTATAATAAACAGTTTTCACAGAATTATGCAATACCTATTGGAAGGCTTCTTGTAATAGGAAAATAGCATTGATCATTCTTGCGAGTCATTCATATTTTCAGAGAGTAGATTGGGCATGGCTGCTAGCCAAACGCCAATAGCTCCTCATGGGCCGTGCCGGGCGATGGGTCAGGGAAGTATCTACATTGTATGAGCTGTCCAATGGAGTATCTACATGTGTAGTTAGCTTGATTCTCTGTAGTCGCTTTGGGGACTTGAAGTCACATCTTCATCACTCAGTCCTCCTGTAGATGTTGTTGGCTCATCACTTCCACGGGGGCAAGCTCCATCCAAGGCATTCTGCAACTCATTATGCAGGTCGCCGGCTGTTAGGCACAGTGCCTTCAATGTACCATAGTTATATGCAACCAGGTAGCTGCGGTACTCTGCAAAGTTATCCTCTGTAACCTCCTGGAATCACAACACAAACAAGAAATGTGGGTCCATTGTTATTAGGCATCATGCCTGTTTGGATTTCCACTATAAATAAAGTATACAACAACAACAACAACAACAACAACAACAACAACAACAACAACAACAACAACAACAACAACAACAACAACAACAACAACAACAACAACAACAACAACAACAACAACAACAACAACAACAACAACAACAACAACAACAACAACAACAACAACAACAACAACAACAACAACAACAACAACAACAACAACAACAACAACAACAACAACAACAACAACAACAACAACAACAACAACAACAACAACAACAACAACAACAACAACAACAACAACAACAACAACAACAACAACAACAACAACAACAACAAATATCTCTTATTGGCGATGGTGCCATTGTGGGAATAAAGAATAAGAATAAATAAAAAACAACAACCACAACAAATGCAAGACAATGTATCAGTACGAAGGTCTCAATGACGGTCATTGAGGCCTTCGTTCTGATATAAAATGGTCACTGACCGTTTTATTGATATAGAACATTCAGTCCACATTTATGCTGATTTCATATCTGAATAAGCAAAGTGCGTCGCTGAAGAGTTCGACTAATTGGACATTTATTTGCTACTGTTACAGCAGCGGTAATGCTCAGTACAAAACTGTATATAGATCCGCCATGAGTGCATTGGTATGGTGCACTGGTACCGTAGTGTGAGTATAATATTATTTGAACAAGAATTGAAAGTAAATATGACCAGTTCTCGCAAACTCCAAGGAAATTGTTCTCACGAATCCTTCATGATTTTAAAAGTAACATTGATCAGTTTCAAAAGTGCAGGTGGTATACGTGAACTCTTTCACGTGTCGTCAGATATGCTTTATCTATACCATGGTGAATGCATATTTCTTTGATCTCTCTGTACCTTCCTGGAGTGAGCCATAAGATTGAAATGCATGCTTGGTATTATTGTTAATGAAGTATTCTATACTTGCACTCACCATTACAGGCGGCCATTCTTCGTCATCCTCGAACGCACCATCCCCAGATGGGTCAGAGCAAACGTCTCTCTTTCTGAAGAGGTCTTGCAGCTCTACACCCGCCAGTACCTCAGTCTGCAGCATGAATACAAAGTACAATAGTTGGAAACTGGAAGTGTGTTCCACATTCAAACAATCATGATAGAGAGATACAGACAATGAAAGGGAGATAGAAACGGAGACAGCTAGAGAGAGGGGGGGGGGAGAGAGAAAGAGAAGAAACTGGCAATGCTGCAAAGCAATAGAAGTAACCGGAAAAGCAGACAAAAGAGTTCACACTGAGCTTTGGACTAGTCTAACTAGAATTCCAGTTTGTTGAATTCAAGGGACAGTGTCACAAGGAGGCAAATAATCAGCGTTTTCCGCTGCTGCGGCAAATAGGCAACGCAGGGAAATATTTCCCTATCGGTCACACTGCACTTGCGTGCTGATGGCAGCTGCAGCGATGGCAGCTGCAGTGGAATTCACGAATAGATGGAGCACCCAACGGCAACAGAGTAAAAATACATGCCTGTCATAGTTTATCCGTACAGTCACAGGTCAACACAGTTTCAGCATAGCTCCTGGGACTTACCAGGTTACGTAGCAAGCGGCTATGATATGCCGTCTCATTGAGCAAGCGGCCAATATCAGGCAGAAAGCTGTTCTCCTCCGTTCTGTTTATGACTAACTCGTACTCCATCATGTAGTGGAGGAATCCAGCGCGGTGGAAATTGTCCAGAACTCCAGCAATATAGCCAAGTCTCTCCTGCCAGCCGGGCAGGTCCTTCAAAACAGGGACAAAATACAAGAGCGGAGAGAAAATTATTTGATTTTTGCTCCCTCTATATTATTTGAATGGACAATACCAAGCACACAGAAGTGCCCAACATCAAGGCAGTGAATAGAGTAGGAAGGGTGCAGCGTCAGAGATTAGAAAAGAGATAGGAAGCAGATATCGATCACTGTACGCATGAACACATGGCCAATGGCCTTTAGCTAGGTACATGTATATGGAGTACATTGTATCTGGTCCGTTCACCTTCACTGGTGAGGAAATCCATCTGCAGCTTGGAAACTTACTACTTACTGGTTATGGCCCAAACCAGGCGAGTGTGTGGTGTGAAAACCGGTGCACCAGCCAAGGATAATAGTCATAGTATACGTTATGTTATGTACTGAAGTACAGTCATGAATAGTGAATACCCTTGTACTCATTCTCCCGACATTGGGTTATGACGTACGCATCACTAGTGCGTCGAAGCACACTGTAAACGTCTACAAATAAAAGCCTCTGAAAAATGACTACGCAATCTCCGGACAGCTAGCTATTTCGACCGTGTTAGGTATCGTCAGCGGAGATCAGAGTTACTGGCCGAACCGATCGCGATGAAGTCTAATGAACAGCAAGGCACTTTAAAAAAAATTAAACTGGCTCAAAGCCTCTAAGTCATAGTGCTCTAACTTCGATAGACACAGCTAGCTTTGCAAATGAATGTAGGAGTGCTGGCAAAACTATGGGTTGATTATAGTGCGTCGAACCACAGCCGGTAGGGCCTAATCCTTGTGGCAGACACTTTCCCAGCACTGTCCCAACTGTGTATCATTTCTTAACCTAATGATACTCGGTGTAGTTCTTACCTGGGTGTATTCCACACATGGAACAGAGTTATTACCCGGCCAGTCGCACTGCGCTGCCAAGTGGTTTGGGTACAATGAACGCTGCGCATACACAGGAAAATAGCAGCATCAGGCAATGAGAAGAATGCGACAAGAATCGGTGCGAACGCTGGCAGAGAGAATTTTGCGAAAGATTAGAGATTCACCCTCCTTTAAACGCTATGACACTAGAATTGGACTTTTCCATAGATTTGCATTTGCATACTGGTTACGGAAGTTCTTGTCTATTGTTCTTTCCCAGGTCTGCACCGTCAATTTCGATATGGACCCAAATACATGTAAAGCGATTAACCTCTGAAGGACCTAAAATACATGTGGTCGCCACTTACCCGCAAGTAATCGTCTTTGGATTGGCACACACTCTGCTTGAATTCGTCGATCTGGTCATACGTAGTGCCGACCTGAAGACATTGGTCTACGCCGTGGACAAGAGTGTCTACCGTTGCACTCACCGGGGATGGTGAATACTCTGGTTCTGGAACCGGGATGCTGTGAGCGTCAGTCAACAGAAAGATCCCGACAAATGCAACGTACAGGATTGTCGTTTGACAGGAAGTAGCTGTAGCAGCCATTGTCGCAATGTGGATGCTTTCAGAAGAAATCCAAAGGACTATTATGCTGGAAAGTCAAAATCGTTGTGCCATCTGACTGAAAGGTATCGGTCATTTTATAGTGCGAAGGAGTAGGAAGAAGGAGGCACTGGTGTCCGATTCCAAGAAATCAGTATTCCTCGCTACATGGTGACGCCGAACATCAACGGGTTTAACTTCCTCGGAAGAGCACAGGCGAGATGTCGGAAAGCTCTGACCAAGAATTTCCTTTGCGGGACTTCAAGGGGTTACTGATTAATCTGTTTCTTGAAACTTATGTGCGGTGAGCAGGTCAAATGGTGCGCTTGTTTTCAATCAAACTGGTGGAGAGTTCCTGAGGTTCATGTGATGTGTAGTTCGTTCAGACTTGCCCGGAGCAAACTAGCATGAACCAGATAAGTGGCCAGTCACAAACACACACCACTGGAATTGGCCAGTTCTGATGAAACGTCCAGTCTGCAATGCCAGTTGAGGCTAGAGTTCATCTGCTGGTTTGTTTCGCCCATATGTGGAATGAAGTCACGACGTGCAGCAGAGATTTGGATTGTCTGTAGTTGTGCCAATTTCTTATCAATCTGTGGAAAGTCATGGGCATAATAGACAACAGCCATGTACTTGAAAAAGTCAGGAAACTCGTGAATTTCAAGTGGAATGGAACACACCTCTCCAAAACAACCCCAGTCCGCCAGAAAGCAATTAGCTGATGTGTCACTGACGGGCTTATTGTGTTGTCTCTGTGGATAATGGATAGAAATGTGAGAACACACCATTCGACGGTTCTGCAGCCCAGAGGTCGCCCAGTGACCAGATGGGTAGACAACAATGTGAATGCTCTTTTCTTTTCAACATGTATCCTTTGCTAGCGGGGCAACCTTACATGCCTTCGACAGAATTCAATGAGAGTCGACGGTTTCAACACAGGCTTGAGCCAGATTTGATTTTCCATATAAGCTGCATGTACATGTATGATATGTACTTCAAGTACTGCATCCCAATCAATATTAGACGATTCTATCCACAACGTGAAATGCACCTTGACAGATGCTGTACAACATCCGGCGTGCATTGCTGCGGGAGTGTGTAACCATGACATAGCTAGCTAGCACAACTAGAAGTATTGTGTCGTACAAGCTGTACCGCATCGTTGATATACATGTGTTTGCAATTAACCTCGAACCCGCAACCCACAAAACGTCCTTGACTACACCACGCGACTCGATGCATTTATATAATAATCGTATGTACAGGTAAAACGCGTTCAAATCGTTGGTTTTTGATCACAGTGTAATTGCACGATCCAAAACCATTCATCTCTCCAACACCTTCAAAACCAAGGTCTTGCGCTGCAATTGTAATTACATTAGTCTCTAAATTTCCGGCCTTGGGGCTTCATCAGTGAGTTTTACAAGACCAAGACCATTGTTGTGCGGCTCCGTCTGCGGCTAACATCAGAGATGACCTAGTTCTGGGAACTCTTTCGCTGTTCCGGAACAGTGCAACAATCTTTCGCCCTCGCATTTGTTTGTCTGTTTAAAACCGTCGTTTGTAACGATACTTTGTTGATAGAGACTGCATACAGAGTATGCTTCTCGGGCCTCGATTGGTTCCGCATGCACGCATGTTGTGCTTCGTGCTAGCTATTGGTCTGATTTTCTTAATCCTTGTCGTGTTGGCAATTGTTGGCTGTCCCTTTCTCATGCGAATCTGTGGGCATTTATCCTTTGGAAATTGCTGGCATTGACGCGGAAATGCGATTAATAATAATAAACCCTTGTTCAGACATCTCCCGCATTAGGCGTGCAAACGCTGACCTTCATAGCTCAATGTCCCCACGGTCAGGGGAGCTCTGCTCTCCTCTTTCCTGCCATCCCAGTCTTGTACTGCTCTTGCCTGTAGCGTACGGTGTCTGGGTAGTGGGTTCCGCGATAGTGCGAATTAATTAAGGAGAACGACACATCGTGGACATGGCATATCATACAGTAAAATTAATTACAAATACATGTATTATTGTTTTTACCATTAACGTTCTGCTCGGGCTCCAACACTGTTAGATTTCCGTGTGGCGAAGGGCTTGAGACGGCTCCACGTTACGCATGAAACACACATGACCACATTTTTCAGGTTAAATGGAACATGTTAATGCAAGGTATATACTTGAACAAGTATAGAAAGATTGTGCTTTGCAACGGGTAAGACCTGCCCATTCTGTGGCACAATATTAGGTCTAAACTGTAAGGAGGCTCAGGCTCAGGCTCAGGTGTTTGTGCTGACTCTAGAGTGACAGCACAATCTTTCTTGATCTGGTGTCACGGATACAGATGCAACAATGGAGAAGTGCTGACGCCACGTGTCAGCGATTTATTCAGTACAACGCGACCTCATCAAGACTACTCTGTCAGTTATTTGCTCCACTGGTTGTCAATTCTCTACATCTGCAATCACCCCAGTGTACGGTGATCCGCCACCAGTATCACTTTCCAATAACCATCATGTAGACTGAACTTAAAACCCTAGCAACGATGGTGTCTTGCCATAAACAAGTCTCAAAAAGTCACGAATTTTCTTGTTAGCTGAGCACTTGATCAGCAAACACAAACAGCGCAGCAAAGCGAAGCCTGCTGATCAGATCAGGTGTTAACTCTCTACTGGATGAGGTTGATGGCGCGGTACCTCGATCAGTGGCAGGGATGTCGTATCGTCCGATGTCCCACTGCTTGAACCATCCAATGGTGTCACTGTACCGACTCACGATTGTCCAGGAATTGTCACTAACTTTGTTTCTTTTGGGAAGCACACACGAACCTCCCAGGCACGTGTAGGCCAAGGGTACTTGTCGTTCATCATCTGCTGTCAGATGATTCCTACGTGAAGACTAGTTTTCCCGTCAGCTACTGGCAGTGTCACGCCACATTCGAATGCTGTCGTTCAGGCATCCCAGAGTTTATGATACGTCGCTCGAACAGTTACTGTCCTCATGAAATGTGTCGATATTGCTCCAGAAGTCGGTGAAGGTGATATGTTGGGAAGACGAGTTTACTTCCAATTCCGTACTTTTGCTCCTACAAAGAACATTTCCAAACTTGACTTTGGATGCAGATTACAACGCAAAGCTCAAGTGGACACAATGCACTTCAGTTACGCAGAAAATATGGTTTTAAGTCATATTAATTAAAGTATGACTATCCACCCGATAAAGCCATCGTCACACATCGCGCACGTTTCGACATCATAGCCGGTCGCCGCAAATGTCAGCGAAAAGATTACTAATTCTATTTTCCTGCAAGGTGATGCTGTCAGGGACGTACATGTACATGTACCTGTTATTGCCGATATACCGCATCAACCTTTAGCAAGCTCTAGTCAGCTGACTCAATCCAGTGAAATGCTTAATTAACTACTCGTACATCAGTAGAATGAATGTCAGACGCACCAGGCATTTGACGTCCACCAGCCTGGACTACCCAAGGCTAAGGAGCTTGTGATGTGTCGTCTGTGGCTCCACTCGCGCGAGAAGGATGAACAGCGGAAGATCTTGTGCAGCCATTGTGTATACGAGCCAGCACTATCGGGTACCTTATGGGGTATATTTTGCACGAGATTATCATTATAGCATGAGCGGATACCTGTGTCACTAATAGCTACTTGCTATTTCCTACTTGGGCTATATTGCTAGTCCATGGCCGACATGTAATGGGGAGGCGTGTACAGATCATGGTTATAAACATCTTACTGTGGAAGCTTTGACAGAACATCGATGCGGGTTATATAAGGGTGCGTTTTAACTTTCGCTCTACCATACTTCTCCTGAGGACTTGAAGGTGTATGCCTTTTCGACCTGGGGCTCTGTCTTCTACTGTGAGTATCACTATAATTATTGATGTTCGTAATTGTTTCCTCTCTTCTGTACGTTGTTCGTGTTAGGTGTAGCGATGGGAGCTCCAACATTCGCATGCCAACGGTCAGAGTCTGTTGCACTCCAGCCAGGATTGCAAAGGTTTACTCAGCATAGTTTCGTAGAAGAGTTAGACCTAGATGTAAATAATGTTCTACCAACGACTTGGATATATTGATGGTTCGTCTTTACTTCTTTCATCTGTTACGCAATGCCCAATGCTGGTTTCATTCTTAAAATTCGTTCAGTAGGGTGAAGTATCTTCAAGTACGATCAGTACACTCATTCTGAGCTACACGTACACATCAAACAACTTTGGAAGTGATTGTTTGTTCGCAATGTGGAGTAAATGTAATGTAAATAATTAAATTCTTGAATAGGCAACACATTAGTATACCATTCCGTTACAGGCTAGTAGAATGGACTCGTGTGAACTCCTTCTTGAACAAGACTTACCGGCGACAGAGCAACGACCAGAATCAGCTTCGTACAAGCCTGGTATTGTCGATTGCAGTCATATGCTAGCGATGGGCTGTGTGATTTGATCGTGAAACCACAATTCATAGCCAGAACTATATTTCATGCAATGGATCATTTTGTTGTCTTGCCCTTGGGTACACGTTCAGCAGTCAATGCGTTACTGCCATTGCCCAGGGGGCTATGGATAGGAGCAGATTGTGCACGTGCAAACATACCAGCCTCAGGTCAGCAGTGCCAGTAGACCGACCACATGAGCCGGAAATCCTGCTCGCTGGGAGCATCGCTGACACCGGTGACCTGTCATAGATCTGCGGAGCGCCTGCGAACTTGTCCACTGTACAAGACCCAGCTCTACAAGTAAGGAAACCCTCCCTGATTATTGACATCCGCCGATCGACAGCATAGCGGAATTTGGGGTCCAATCTGCAGGCTGCTGTGCGAAGCTTTGTGTTGAGAATCGCCCGTGGCTTGTCTGCGTGCATGGTCATGTCATGTTAGGTTTAAAACTCCCCTGCTGCTGGACCTTGGCAGTGCTACCTTTGGCTTTGCGACGCTCAGCGCGATATGCATGACCATGCAGTTCTCACGAACCACCAACTAACTTTGTGTCCTTTTCCAGTAGAAAATAGGTGACTACTTCTGTTATTCTACTCACACTCCCAGGGATTCCAGCGTCGCTGTGTCAAGATGAGCTGGCTGCGGGCAGGGAAAACCTAGCACGTGGCGCGTTTATGACGCAAGAGTGACCGTCCGGAATGTGTTATGTAGCAAAGTGCTCAGTCAAAATTAAATTTTAATTTCAACCACAAATTTTCGCTGCCATGGGTTAGAGAAGATGATAGTGCACATCACCCTCAACAAACTGAGGATCCTTTACTGGCTTTAGTGGGTGACTGTACTAGCTAGAGTGGATGGCTAGTATCTGCAATCATTTCCAAGTGTCCAAGTGAGTAGTTATCTGGCATGGTTTACTGGGGACCTTCACCTGCACTGCATTGGTCATTGTTACAGTGAGCAGTCTGAACTGGAACTCGGGTGACGAGACACTGAAGAACCATTCGCACGTGGCCTTTGCACCGTAGAAGGTCGCCCGACCTGCGAATTTCTCTTGAATCCCCTTTCAAGTACTAACTCTGTATAGAAGCACGTGTAATGGTAATAGTGCTAATAGTATCGCCTTGCCAGACTTCTGAGTTTGCACCCCATGCCGCCCATGCTCGTGGCAATACTTGTATACTCCACTACAGGCATTTGTTTGTGCCATGAAAATGGCGTGAGCCTCTCTCACGACTGCATCATGCATTTCCACGCGTGAACCTATATCTAGGTATCTGCACCTTGTCCGAGGGGTTGGGTATAAAAGGAAACCAGTAAATACAGAATTCAGGCGAACATTATCCGAACACTTCTCAGCGACACCATCACCACCACCCTCTAGTAGCCTTTGTACAATTGCCTCGTTCCAATCTTCTTTGAGAATGGCCTCGTGTGGTGTACTCCGAGACGCCTGCATCTTCTGCTTTCCTTGCGTATATTGCATTCTGCTGATGGCTGCTGTAGTTTGCAGCAAGCCAATAGCCAACCCGTGTAGTCAACTGGCACTGGCAAAAGACAGATCCGGTGAGAATCTTTGTCAAATAACGGGAAGAACGTACAGTCAAGTCGAGTGTTTCAAGGAGAGAGCCTGCAAGGCAAAAGACGATTACGGGAAGGTAAGTGTTGGGCCTTGGCCTGCTGTGTGAATGGCTCTCCCTTTTCGGCTCCCAGTTCCCACCATGGGCCTGAGCGGCGTCCAAACACCTTACAATGCCCAGGGGGACACACATCCTCTCCTGACTACTTTTCAACCCTTCCTATTATCATAATCAATAACTGGTGAACGTATTTTGTGGCTTTAGTTGTGACTTACATTTCAGCAAAGGGGATAATGCTTCTAACCTCCACGAATTATGCATTCTTGGCAAAGTCGAAAGAAAGGGGATGGAAGGTGGTGATCCATAACTGGTCGTGGCAACCGTGTCTTGCACACTATCCAACCTACAGCTTCCTCGCAACATTGCTCGATGGCATAACTTTAATGTCCTGCTCGGGATTACCTGATTTTCTTTCTCTCCAGGATGCCATGTATCTACGTGGTGCAGGCGGATACTTTTCGCTTGTGGAGCCTGGTCCCAACAGTACACCCTGTCGCATGTATGATCAGGTAGGTAGTGCGGGACATACTGAGTCCGAGTGTTTATAGAGGACCTTAAACTGTAAGGTAGGGTTTATCGGGTGTTAGCGGCCGTCGTGAATTCCCTTCGGGAACGGACACGATAATTTACTTTTTTTATTTTTTTTATACTGTAACATGCTGGATAGATTATCTGTAGTGAAAGGCTATCTCGTAAACCATAGTTACTGCATTTGGTGAGATCATAATAATGTGCCTCCTGTCCGAGTATACATCCATAGTTGGCTGTGTGTATCAACACAATTGTGCAGTGGGTGATTTGTGGATGTGACAACTTTTCTTACGTACGAGTAGAACAAACTAGATGTGGGCCTTAGATCCAGATAGCCTCAGCCTCTACTGTTCCGTTGCTCCAACACCACTAAATGATTCAAATTGTCTAGAACTGGAGAAGTTTATAAATGTTTTGGCTATAGAACAGAACAACACCTGCATGATGATTGTGAGAGCATGAAACTTGAAGTAGCAGCAAACAAGCCTTGATTGTCCTTGATATTCTGTTCCGTATTACGCTCTGCCTCCGCGGTGTTGAGCACGGTCAGCACACTGGGTGCATCCTCCTGTAAATAATTTGGCTACCACTTTGAACTATGGTACATGGTATTTCCCACCTGTCGTTTGTTGTTTTCCTTAGGGTGCGTGGAGCAAGAGACTAGGCTATGCTGTCGCAGTACTGGATAACATTCACCATGCTGATTATGTGGCTAAGGCGGTGAAGAACGAAGACATCATCATCGCTATGAACGCCAGCAGCAGAGAGACCTACTTTCTGGAGGAGTTTCAGTACCTGGCCAATCGGACTGAATTCATCAACAATCTACTGATCAAATTGGTAAGTCACAGATGGAAAAGTTGGGATTACCACTGTATCAATTCACAGGCCACTAAACGTTTGTGACCTGTGAACTATTCAGAGTTGGTCACATCAACCAGAGGGAAATTATGATGTTCTGTCCTTCGGAAACGGCATGGTTCAAAGCAGGGAGTAGTACAATACCCATAATGGTATTGTACTACTCCCTGGTTCAAAATCAGGTTCAGAAGCATGTTCGAACTTTGTATTTATAATACCAGGAATGAGACGATCGACTATAGTTCATCCGTGACAATCGTGTCAGGAACTTTCAGTATGTACATGTACTGCCCTTTCTGTCCACAAGGAGATGCACTGGGAATGTTGTCACCATCAGAACATTGATATCGTCTTTACCTAAGTCCTTTACTGTATGTATTTTTGGCTGCAGACAACAGTACTACCCGATGTGACGAGACAGAACCTTGTTGGCGAGCGGGATGTTTGTCTAAACACCACTTCAGAAGAGGACTGGCCTCCGCCCATGGTAATTTTGTTTATTGTTTAAGGGATTCCCCAAAGGCTTTCGCCTGTCGAGGGGGTTTCCAAACTTTCAATAATACCAAATCTGTAAAAGAAGTGATGAGCAATAGGTAAGCAAAGAAAGAGAAAAAGGCATAGTCTAGAGCAGAGCTCTGCGCTTGAACACATTATTGTACTTCAGTAAGTGTACAGAACTGGGATAATAAAATGATGAAAGGTGTACCAGAGATAAGCTTCTAAAGAAAACGCAATACTATTTCGCTACATATTCAACGGAATTCCGCAGTACGTATCAGTAGTTGACTTTTAATTTTAAAAAAAGACCTGTAAAAGGGTGAAGTATGTTGTCACTGCAAGGCTATGTACAAACATGTTTGGTCCTTGGGTCGTGAATATTGCTTTGTGATTGGTAACAGCAGTGGAGTACATAACCCGTACTCTTGCTAACAGAGTGTGTACATGTATATATCAGTATAACTAGAAAATGCCTTATTTATCCATATTCAAACTCAGGATAGCCCAAATCATTAATTTTTGCCTTTGCTAGTACATGTATCAGTACCGGTACATGTAAGGGAATCACTACATGTACATGTATGTTGTTAAAAATTCTCCCCATTTATTGTGCCCGGTCTTCCTCTTTATCACTCCGAATTTATTTTAATTTTCAATTCGATTTGTGCCTTTCCTGTTCATTCTGCGATGATTTGTTGACAGGAGGATACGGATAGTGATGCTGAGTACCTCTACTATCTATCCGTGTATAACTACGGTGCGCTGGATTCATTATGCTACACGCTCCAAGTCCTACATGACGTCATTCAGCTTGCATTGAGCGACGGAGTTATGTGCAAGCTTCCCCCAACTGGCCCCGCTACGTCAGCACCGCTGCAAGGACATGGGGAAGAGCTGATCCCGGACGGCGGGACGAGTGCATAAAGTCACCCAATGCCAGAAGCGCCCATGGATTTATGTGTACTACCAAGACCAGGAATCATGGTGATTGAAAAGTATGCCACTAATCAAGAACAGACTACTATAATAATAATAATAATAATAATGACAGTTCGCATTTCACTCATTGCATGAGGTCAACGCATCTGTTAACAAGTTCGAGCCAAGTAGCTCTATCAGAAGCAGACTACTATAATTATAATTATTTCTATCCTTATGCGAATCGTCACAAGACTTCGCTTGAAAGTACGAGTTTGAGTTATAAGAAAAGTATAATTATGCCCTCGTATTCTTCGTTGAATTATGTCTCGTTTGGAAACAGTGTACTATGTGAATTGTGGACACGAACGCTCCATTTGCATGCACATTGAACCGTCATTCAGTTAATTTCATTGAGTTGTTTACGGTCTTTGTGTCTCATACCCTTCTTGTGAGAGCCTGAATACTTTCAAGTATAACTTACTAACATGCTGATAATGATGTCTGGGAAAATGTTCTTGATATAAACTCATCAATTAATTCAAATGTCTGTGTAGCCCTGGTATTATGCAGCGTCCAAGTAGGAGAAGTTTATCGGTTTTCTGAAACGTTCTTACATGTATTACACAGTGGACCTAAAAGTCCATGTTCTCTGTAGTTCGAATTGCACGGCACAAGTGTAGGCTACTCGGGATCTGTCAAGGATTTTGAATCTTTATTGACTTCTTCTTCCTGAATTTACTGGACGAGCAGTGTGCCTCGAAAGCGGATTTGCTTCGCACATTTACAGCAGCACTAGAAGGGCTTGGACTGCTCATAAATAATTTTATATTAGAAGTACACTGGTATCGAGAGAGGTAGCTAACTGGTACAAGAAGTATGAGCCATGTAGCTGAGAAAAGTCAATATGAAGTATTAAACTAGACAAATGTGCTAGTTTGTACATCGACTTCAAATAAAAACAAACCATGGAAACAATAACCCATACAGCAGGCACATAACATTTTAATAATTATATATATAGACATGAGGTCGAATGAATAAGTGAATCCGACTGTTGCATTCAATGCGGTTGAGAAAGCGAGAGGCATTGCTGAATGTTTGTGTCCATATTAATGATAAAGCTGCACTTGTGTAAACATGGAGAATATAATCCTGGACACTGGTAATATGCTGCTATAGAAAGACAGGAGGATTAAAATGGAAGTGGATTGCGGTCTCCTTCCTGCGGCAATGCATTACATTTCCAATCCTCTAAGATTAAATATATTTCTTGCAGCGGATATGTTCTGCTGCTCCATAAATCATCGTGGGGAAAACATATTCATGGAAATAGACCGGAGAATAGCGAAATACACTGGTGTTTGTTCTTCGGGATGGTGTGGAGTGCAGTATAAATATTATCATCTAGACTTGAAGCTATATTGTTGAAATAGAGATTCTTTGCTAGCGAACACAAGCTGCTTTGGGCTGAAACATGCATACTTCAACTCGCATTAGGCCATTTATTAAATCAATATATAAATAAATACGACCACTATAAATTATTATACTTTCTGGGGCTAGTTGCTGGTGACGGGCGTTTCAGTGGCGCCGGTTTCAGCTGGTGCGCAGTGTGCATCCAATGCCAGTAGCATGGTGTCGTGCAGGGTTTTGTAGGTTCTGCATGAGCTGTACATCACACCGTAGTTATACTCCTTCAGTAGGTAGATGTACTCCTCTTTGCTCTCCGTTAGCTCCTGGACACAGCAGAGGAGAAAACAAAACACAGGTAGTTCAGTAAAGAGCGGAAAGCAGTTAAATTTGAGGTGTGACTGTTAGCCCACAATATAATTGGACAGTTACATGTAGTCTCTGTAAGCCATGATAGCCATCAGTGCTCAAAAGGACTGGGCTCAATATCACATGTACTTAACTGGCTATGGTTCACATCATCTGCTTCAAGGTACATGTATGGCTGTACTGGTATCCACACTGAAGAGCATTGAAAGGAGCATACCTGTCTACTTTGTGCAGATGTGTGTTGTTAAGAATATCTTGTTTTCAAGTACGTTGCAGTGTTCTGACGTTCAGTATCTTTTTGAATTGCTCTTGAGACATTACATATTCACCAATTTGTACTGAACAAGACGGTCAGTGTGTGTGCACAGTCAGTGTCTCATGCAGGGAGTATTGCGATTCTTCTCCCTGGTCGCATGCACCTTCAAAGAGTGCATGCGTGAAACGAATACGATCAATGATGCTCTCACATGCCCGGATAATGCTATTACTCACCCGTGGTACTGGCCACTGATCTTCGGGATGCTGGGGTCTCTCGTCATGAACAATCGTGTCCACGTTCACGCCCTCTGAGGCAGACACCTGCATGCCGACATAAAGAAATAATACAACGATAATAGGACTCTTTCATTCCGATAATATGGCCAGAGGGAAGAGAGAGAGAGAGAGAGAGAGAGAGAGAGAGAGAGAGAGAGAGAGAGAGAGAGAGAGAGAGAGAGAGAGAGAGAGAGAGAGAGAGAGAGAGGGCATCCATTTTCAATTTCTGTTTTTAAAAAGTAGTTGACATCATGGCTGGCAACGTGGAAATATGGTGGTTTTGCAGAGTACGTGTGCAGCAAGGCGAAGGCAGAAATATGTGGGTTACTCAGGGAGCATTTGCGGGCGATAATCATGCATCCCTGGAGAGTAATCGTGCTTACCAAAGTGCTGAGCATATGGTTCACAACAGCAGTGCGGTTTGCGATTTCTTCCAACAGGTATGGGAACACGTTGCTTGCAGCAGGGTTGACGATCTTCTCCAGCTTCAGTGTTTCTTCCAGGTGGCCCAGGTTCTTCTCATCAGCCATAACAGCCACGATATTACCCAGCTGGGTCTGCCATGTATCCTGAATAGTAGTCAATATACAACAAGAATACCATGAGTACTAGCACCCGAAATCTCCCCAGTATCATACATTCATCTAACGTACAGGATGGTCGGGGAAGGCATTAATTATTGTTTCACCCACATCGCGCTCTCAACCGAAGAGTACGCTTTCACAACAATCTTCAAACGCTTTGAGTTTGAAGTAAGGAATTCGATGCTGGTAGTGACAGCTGTATTTGATCATCGTATTGTGTAATATGTAAAGGTAATGCTTACACACGTACATGTACATGACAACAATGACATTGTATTTGCACGGCATAATGTAGTTCAATGTTGGTTGCGATTGCAATCACTCGCCACCACATTCTCTCAACAGACTGTGAGCCGCCCTATGGTATCATCTCTTTTCTGAACAGAACAGTGTTCATGTAGAATCCTAGATTAGTAACTACGGTCACCTAGTATGCATTGTAAGCCAATAATCAGCCTAGCTTGATAGAGGCCTGGAATATCCGACTGTCAACGTCTCATGATGCACCTACTAACTTCCTAGGTGTCACACAGCTGTGTTGGCTCCAGTCTAAGACTCTTACCTGTTGTTCGAAGCGACGTGGCAGACTGTTGTCACCAGGCAGCGTGATCGATATGTAGCCGTGGGTCTGCAGTGGAACGAGGTACACCACGATCAGAGATGTCGCAGTTAGCTATTGTAGTATTGAACTGAAGATACCAGTGGCTTTTTTAATAAAAAATAGGAAAGAATGATTTGGTCCTTTAACGTATAATGCTAAGCACACATACCAGACCTTACTCCAATGGATATCGTTCCAAATCGTACAACTGCCACCACGGAGCAGATAAAAAAACTAAAGTAAAGTTACAGTTGGTTTAGTGGCTCACCTTGCTGTAGTGCTTCTTCGTGTTGCAGACCAACTCCATGGACAGGAAGACTTGGCTGTAGGTATGTCCGGTCAGCGAACACAGCGGGTTGGACGTGCCTGCTGCTGGCACTTGCGCAGCTAGCTCAGCGTTCGCGTGATGAGGTAGTACGGTGGGATACGTCAGTGAGGTGGACACGTTTCTAACGTTACTGCTAACACTGCTGTTGCTGGTGGTATACTGCGGCAAGGGGCTAGCTTGTACTGCCTCTAGTACGACACACAGGCAAGTGAATGCCTGGATAACTGACAAACATGTCGGAAACGTATTTTTTGAAGCCATTTCACTAGAGGATTCTTGGAAAAACTGAGTACTGTTCTTCTAAGATCGTTCTTCACCGCTTGAGTTTCTTCAAGTGCTAGCTGAGGATTGCCAATTTGCTCTGTGACTTTCATCGAGCTTCTCTTGCCTTTTTATACATCTTTGCGCTAGAATACAACCCCACCAGGGTAGTTGCAAGCTGCAACGATATCCATTTATCAGTAACATGTTCGCCCTTCACCTTACACCATGGGGCGAGGTGGCGTGCGCTGGAGGTAATGTAGCCGAAGATAACCTTGAAACTGATTCACACATTGCGTGTGGCACTTTCAAGGACATCAAGGAAAGGCGCCTTTCAATTATCGACGACATTAGTGTGAGATAAAAAACTGTCCCCGGACTTGCGATAGTTTTTGAACTGAAGACCATTCTCACGCATCATTCCTGCGTTCAATTTTACTATAACTGAGTACAGGTGTATAATATGTTGGACCGCTGTGTTTCAGGTGAAATGGTCATGTGTTTGATGCAGAGGGGGCAGCTATGATGGGGGCAGTTATGGGGCCAGTGTCTCCGAAATGGTACAATCAGGTGCTTCAACGTTGGACCACCGAAGTCTGCATTGCATGTGTGATCTCCAACTCACGGTCCTGGAGAACTCGATGTCTACGGCGGAATGCAATGCGTGCGCGCACATCACGGACGCTTAGCACGTCATTTCCGTGCAGCTGGCCTGCAGACGAGTAGGTCCATGAGTCGGTGGTGGAGCTGCAATGCAGATCGTAAGCAACCCCAGATTCCCAGTGACCCGGACTTGACTGTACTATTCGGCACGGAGGCAGATGGCGAAAAGCTCCGAGGCACCTCAAACCTCAATGCACATTTGGATTGTTAATATACAAAAATGAATGCTATGTGGACCATGTGCACCTGAAATCAAGGTCGATTCATTTTGCATCCAGCATGAAATCCCGCCATTGGTATTGGCAGTTTGGCCACACGATGTTGAGGTTCTAGTAGAGTTGCTGAGTTAGCTACAACCTACTGCCAGCACTTGGGACGAATACTGGCACCGTAGTACTACAACCAATTACACTGGACAGCAGTACACTTGGCCTTGTACATGTACGCACATTTCCTAGATCTATTCTATTTGGCTAATCGTGAGGTATGTCCACAGTTGACCGACATTCACGCAAGTCAGTATTCCCTCCAAGGGCTGACCTTGTGTCAATTGTGTAGCCAGGATATGCCCAGGACTACAACATCCCAAACAGCCTGAACTACACGTAAATATATCAACACCCAGTTTACACGAGTCACAGAAAACCACGCGTTTTGATAGTCGTAACTTAAAGTCAACACCCGGTTTATACAGGTACATAGGAGATTGAGTAAAAGTACAATCATACACGTACACGTACACGTACAAGCATACGATCAGTGCAGGTGTGCCTGATTTTCAGCACCAGTGCAGTATTAACCTCCTGCCGACTTGTGTGAAGTGTTAGCGAAATGAGAGCGAAATGCGAGGCGCCGATTTTTCTGATAACTTTCAAGTTACAACTGTGATAATGCTTATGCAGGTCAGTGACATTTCGTCCTTCCGCTTGCCGAGCTTTCCTTCTATGTGGTGTTTTTGTTCATCATGCATGTTCCAGTGCTCAAGTGTTACTAGTAATTGATGCTCCCAGTCGCTTTTGACAGTTTCCTGTACAGTGCAGCCATAGAAAATGTAGATCCGAAGGTCGCCGGGTTCCGAAGGATTACTGCATATTCTGGGGTTGAATAGAGCCAGATTGATCGCTCAGTGGATGCCCATGTTGCATGTGTCAGCCACCATACCACTGCTCTCGTTCACTCCGGATAAGCCCTATCTTGAGTGTACATCACTACAGTAGTATACCACGTGTACACTGTTAGCCAGTGTAGCCCTGATACTACTACTAGTGATAGTTCGCTCATCCATGTGCATCTGGCGAACATCGGGCCTGTACAATTATGTCCTTTACTTGATAATAGCTATTATCATGAATGACGGACAGTCGCGACATGCGCCTCGCAGACAGGCGTGTATCTGTACGCCCTGTAAACTGCAAAATCATGACGTACCATCCATTATTGCCCATTTGCGGATAACCTGACATTTCATTTGGAGATATAATGCCTGTGCCTGTGGTGGATGGATGGTGTGCTGTGCGATGGTGTGCTGTGATCTTTCGGCTTTCGGAAGTGGAACTTACAGCTGTGCTCGCAACGCTATTTTGCATTCCCCGCGTGCGCCGATATACATACCGTGCATGTGCAATATACATTTTTTATTATAGCTGATGCAGTGTGGGTAAAGGGGAGCGGTGAACGTCGGTTATCCTATACTCCCCTTGTGTTTGTGCTTCACTTCCTTGAAAAGGACGCCTCTTCCATGCACCACAATACGGATTGCTGCAGGGGTAAATGTCCTAGTAATAATGTGGAACTTTACAGGTGACTGGGAATCCAAATACACTTTCATGATTAGTGTGCTGGCGCCATGGCACAGAACTGGATTTCAAAAAAACAAACATATCGCCGTTGTTCCTGTGAAAGGATGGTCGCAGCGTTTGGAAACAGTCACGTCGAACCCTGGCATCTTCGCCTTCGTATTCATCTTCATGTGCCATCACTGCTCTCTTCTGTATTATCTTCGCCGTGGAGTTGAGACTTTTGGGGTGTTACTGGAGTTGCTCGACTCGACGCCACTGATGATCATCATGATGAGGATATGGTGATGGTTGTTTTATTTCTCAGATCCAAACGAGAGTTTCTTCCCAATGAAAAGGTAGCGAAGAGATGAGGTATAACGGAGGGAAGAGGTGTACATGTACATGTATGTGAAATGTGTGTACATGCACATGTCATTGTGTGGACTGCGTGACGAGGATCCATTACTTGATCTGGTGAACTGCATCGCTGGGATTTTGATGTCAGATCCCGATTTCCATGAGAGAACCTTCAAGTTACCCGCAAAAACGCAAGTATTCCAACTCTCTTCGGTCGCTGGAAAGCGTACCGTTTTTCATGTTCATTGCGATTGGGTAGCCAAGAGAATCTGCGTGAGACAAAAAAAGAGGCATTAAAGACTATAATAATGAGTATTCGGGTTCAGAAGGTGAAGACTAGACATCGGATGATGGTCGCTATATGAACAAATGTGTTGTTGCTGGCCCCGACGGCAGTGTACCTGAAGACCAATATTTGTGCCTCAAAAGGGAGTAGCTGTCGCTGTGCACAAGAGGTACAGGAAAGAAAAAAATAAGGAAAGAAAGAAAGAAATCCATAGTAACAACATGCTAGAGGATTGTACACGATGCTACAGTGCTGGCAACTGAAATCCGACACCCTAGGCGGCGCGGCGCGCTGCCCAGGGGGTCGGATTTCAGTTTCCAGCGCTGTAGTAACTGTTAGCAACACATAACCCATTTCCCAGGCTTTCTCATCTCTCACTGGTGAAACGATATTGACTTCATCAATCGCCTCTCATCTCAGCGCATTCCATAAAGCTAATTCTGCCGTGGCATATTGATCCCGCTTCAAGTTTACAATAGAAGCAGAAATCTGCATGGGAGTTCCGTGATACGGACTCCAACATTTGCAAATCGCGTGTACGGTCATTCCAAGTTCTTCAATCACTCCGGTATCACGATGCTAGAGAAAACCACGCTTCTCTTTCAATATTTGCTGGGAAGCTCGCATGGAAATGTCGACGGAAGTTTCCAATTCTGGCATACCCTGCGCTAGTGGTGCTCGGCGGAATGAAGATAGTCACATTCCGCTGCGCTGTGCATGTGGAAACTCTGTGTTTCAAAGAAAATTTTCATCTACTCTTTGATGGAAACTAGGAAAACGGCGGGGCGCAAGTTATGCGTTAGAATCCAGCAACTAAAGCAGGTTTTGAACAGTCAGACGTGCACAAGGTAGCACCAGACTGACAAGGAGTACTGAGACATTCCACGGCAAGGAAGTGAGCTTGAGCACTGCTCGATAGCGCCAACCAACGGCCTTCCAACTTGGAAGGTTCATGGATATTAGTGATAAACGGATTATTCCAAAGAGAGAAAGGTACACCCTTGTCAGTCTGGTGCTACCTTGTGCACGTCCGACTGTTCAAAACCTGCTTTAGTTGGCGGACTCTAACGCATAATTGGTGTCCCACCCGTGACCGTTTTCCTAGTTTCCATTTTAGTATGTTCCTTGACTCACCCTCTGAGTACTAACTACTTTGATTTGATCATGTTCACGTACATACATGTAACTGTCCCAATGCGTCATTATCTCCTGACAGATTCAGCATCATAGGACCGAGCCTCTTTATATACATGTAGATCCTTTAGAGATTGTGTTTCACACCCCACACGAGAAAGTTTCGTGGATGTAACATCATTGTGCAGAGAATGATCGTATGGCGTAGGAATCAACTTCGCTGGTTCGTCTGGTTCGCTGCGTCAACAGTGGTATACTATACTTCTGTCCGCCTAAGTATTTTTTTCCTAAAGATCAATGAAACTCCAAGAAGGAGCTTCATGACTACAAACTTTCGCCCTGATGCAGTTAAAAGAGGTACTTTCGGGATACTGGATGTTCACGCATATACTGGTCCCATTCCAAATTCCTGCGTGAACCTTTTTGGGCGCCGTGTTAGCACAGGTGCTTGAAACCTGAGCGATCTACCTGCATTGGCTGTTGACAAACTCCGACTATGCTTCCATGCATGAAAGCGAGTCGGATTGAAAGGGAATGCAATAAAATAATCAATGGGACCCTTTCGTCTCCTCTAGAGAGAGTAAGTAGTGCACATTTAGTGGACAATAATACATGTATAGGGCTGCGTGAGAAGGGTACGACAAGTTTCTCCTCCAGGGTTCAACTCGATACCTTTTTATCTTTCATTTCTTGTAGCAACTCTTCAGAAATGCTGAATACGGGGGAGTTGCACAGATCCCGTTTGCACGGGACAACCTTGTTGGATACTAGCAATGCGAACATGGCTCAGACATGGTTCTGTTCGAACGCATGATGCGCGTGAGAACAATGTCATCAGGTCACCGGCAACACACAAGCAGGTCTTACCAGCAGTGGAAATTCCACGCACTGGCACTTCTGTTGTTACAACATGTGTGGACCCATTG